AATGTTGAATCAGAGAATCATAGAAGTATTACTGAGAGGGACTTTAGAGGCTAGTCCAGCCTCATTTTGTTTTTTCCAGATGAGGAAATTGAAATGCAGAATGGTCAGGATGACTTTGCTAACATCACAAAGTTAGTGAATGGTGGATTCAAGTTTTGTTTCTGACTTCAAATTCAATATTCTTTCCTTTGTACCATGTTATACAGAGCAGGATTAATTGTATAGTTCTTGGGATACTTTCTTGAGTATCACTCAGTGCTCTAATAGCTCTGTGGTCACATCAGTTTAGATATTCTCTGCAGACATGAAGATCACACCTCATTAATCCCTTTCCTATGCTACTCTTATTGATATTATGTCAGTTTGCCATAGGACTCACTCTGTGGTGGCATTAGTGGTAGGGACGGGGACAGGGAGGGGGATGAAGAAAAACCTTCACCTTCTCTTAAATCTTTAATCACTACTCTTTGGGTGCCACAATTCAATTATTATTGGCTTAATTTCTTTCCATCTTATAAAAAGGAAATTATGAATGGTTTCTTCAAAAACCTTCCTGAAATATATGTGTAATGCTTCTTGAACATTGTCTTGGTGTACTATGTTAAGAATCCCATCTTGCTGTACTATGTTATGAATCCTGTGAAAAAAGAAAATGAAGAAGTTCCTTTGGTTTTACACTCTTTTGATGAGCCAAATAAGTCTTCATCTTTTAAGTGTTACTAAACCATTCCTTCAATATCAATTATAGAAATTTGCCTGTAATCAAAGTTAATTTCATCATTATTCTTTGAAGGGTATACCTTATTACACTTCTGAAAGTTATTATCACATTTGCCAGTTTCTTGCCCAGTTGCATTTCTCTCGTTCTCCATGATTTTTTCAGAAGTCATTGATTGCAGTTCAGCAATCATGTCTATACATTCTTTCAGTAACCTGGGATGTAATTCGTCTTGGCTGTAGAACAGAACTCATTGAAAGTAGCTAGTTATTCTCTTTTTTTATATTCTTATTTGTAATTGGTTTTAATTTCCTTTTAACCATTTTCTTGTATATTTTCTATCTTAAGGGGTTTTTTTGTTAGAAAAAAGTAAAATAAGAGTTAAATAGTTTCTTTGTAGTCAATTATCTTTATCCCATCTACCCCAAGCAACAGTTCTTTCATCTTCCTCTCTCTTGTAGATAAAAAGATATTTTAAAATCTCCCCTTTTGTTGCTTTGATGTTCCTGACCATATATGACCATAATACTGTTTTGTATTCTTTTCATGGAGGAATAATTTATATGAATTGTCAGAATGTTGTTCTTGATAGCATACCTTCCCTTTTGTACTTAATTCTCTTGTGCAATTTTAGGTCATGGGATCTTCCTTTTTGTTCTCTAAACCCTTTGAAATGAAATATCCTAAAGTCCAGGCTGTACAATAGTATAGCTGTGTGGTCCTAACACAATTTTGTCCTCCTTCCCCCGTAGGGTTTTTAGAATAGCAAATAAAGGCAATGCCATAGGAAAAATATGTTGCTTTCATAAAGAATTTTAACAAAAATGTTTATGCCATAGTATCTCAGTTTCCTGTCATTTCTACTTTGGTAGCCAGTTCCTTATTGGTCAGAATCAGTTCTGGAATAATAGTTTCTCTCAAAGCTTCCTTTACCTTTAGAAGAATAAGTTTATCATTAAGTCAAAAATTTAACTGCTACACGATTTTTTAGCTGAAGAGTTCAACACTTACCATTCTATATCTTTTTTTGCTTTCATGGATAATCTCCTCACCCTTTTCTAAACTCTCTTCAAGATGGCTTCTGACATCACCATGTAACTGAAAATGCTCACTCTAAAGTTGTCAATTATCTCCTAATTGGCAAATCAAATGTGATTTTTCCATCCCTCACCTTTCATGAATAGTCTGATGTTTTTCACCATGCCTACTACCCTCTTCTCATGGACTCTTCTCTAGCATGTTGTGACATTGATCTCTCCTGTACCTCCTGACTTCCACTAATTGCAAATGTCCCCCTGCAAAGGGCTTGTCCTGGGCCCTTTTCTCTTTTCCCTCTATACCATTTCACTTGGTGATATCATCAGCTTACGTGTGTTCAATAATCATCTTTATGCAGATCATTCTCAGATTTATTTATCAAGCTCTAATCTCTATGCTGACCTCTACTCTTGTATCTCCAACCACCTAATAGAAATCTCAAACTGTATGACCTATGCATAACTTAAACTCATCATGTCCAAAACGTCACTCATAATCTGTTCCTTTCAACCCCCAAATCTCTCCCCTTCTAAACTTCTCTATTGCAGTTGATGGCACCACCATCCTTCCAGGCATACAGGTTCCCAACCCAGTTGTCATCTTCAGCCTCTTACTCTGTCTCCACCCACCTGTAATCCAATCAGTTGTCATGTCCTGTTGAGTCTATGTCACAGCTCTCTCCTATATGATATCTTCTCTACTTTGACACTGCCACCACCTTGGTATAGGTTATTATCACCTTACGTGTGGACTTTTGTTATAGCTTCCTTGTCTCAAGTTTTTCTTCCCTTTAGTCAATCCTCTACTCAGCTATCAAAGTTATATTCCTAAAGTATAGGTTCGACCAAGTCCCTTTCTTATTCAATAAACTCCAATGGCTCTCCATTGATTCCAGATAAAACATAAAATCCTATGGCTTTTACAGCCTTTCATAACCTGTATCCTTGATTTTCCAGTCTTAAACTTTACTCTCATGTACTTTGCAATCCAGTGACATTGGCCTTCTTGCTGTTTCTCACACAAGACCTTCATTTTCCTGATTCTCTGCATTTTGCCTGTCTTTGCCACATGCCTAGCATTCATTCCTTCCTCATCTCTGCCTCCTGGTATCTCTGATTTCTTTCAAGTCACAGCTAATATTCCATCTTGTGCAGTAAACCTTTCCTAGTCCTCCTTAATGTTAGTGACTATCCTGTTATTATTATTATATCCACCCCAACTGTTTACATGGACTATTTGTACCCAACTTGTGGTAGAGCCTTCCAAGCTCGTATTGGTCTGACTAGCTGCAGTCAGACACACTGTACTATGACTCCAAAATAATGATATAATTTTTTTCCTCTTTAAGAATGAAGGACAACAGTTAACAACATTCCTCTGAGAGTGTCTCCAGTTTATCCAGTGTGTATTTTATTTGTACGTAGTTGTTTGCATATGGTCTTCCCCTTATTACCTTTCTTCCTTTCTCCCTATTAGATTGATAGCCCTTTTAAAGAATGGTGTTGTGTATGTGGGGTGTGTGTGTGTGTGTTTATCCCCAGGACTTAGCACAATGCCTAGAATATAGTAAATACTTCATAAACACTTGCTGACAACCACCTTCTTCAAAAGGCCTTATTCCCTTCATTGCCAGTACTTTTCTTTTAAGATTACCTCTAATTTTGCCTCTGTGTGTGTATGGTTTTTTTTTTGGTTGGCATGTTATTTGTACCATTGGAATGTAAGCTTATTGAATGTAGGGGCTGTTTTTTTTCCCCTTACATTCCTAGTGTTTAGTATGGTGCTAAGTGCTGATTAAATGCTTGTTGACATGACTTGAGAAGGTGTTCCAAATTGTTGAAGTCTCCCATCTCCATAAATATGAAATGTTTATATTTTATGTATAAGATATTTCTATATTTGTTGTTCAGTCATTTCAGTCATGTCAACTTTTTGTGATCCTATTTGGGGTTTTCTTGGCAAAGATACTAGAGTGGTTTGCCATTTCCTTCTCCAGCTCATTTTACAGATGAGAGGCAAGCAGGGTTAAGTGACTTGCCCAGTAAGTGTCTGAGGCCAGACTTGAACTCAGGAAGATGAGTCTTCCTGATTCCAGACCTACTGCTCTGTCCACTGTGCCACATAGTTATCTGCATTACACATATATAAAAAAGATCACTCCGCCTCATAAAATACAGGTTAAAGTACTTTTTATTTCTTTGAATTAAATACATCCTCTGTTGGGTAACTACTGTATCCATCTTGATGTGCAGAAGAGTGGTTGAGAATATGTGTGGGAGTGGTGGTTACCTGCATATGTAATTTCATCATTGTAGGAATTTCTTGTGGAGACTCAAAACTTTTTCTTTATGCATATTGATAAACCAGCTGCTACTAAATAGTCAGAGATAGTCACATAGGGGTACCAAAGGGTTATGGTGGGTTAAGTGTCTTGCCCGTGACTGCTCATGTAATCCATGCCTGAAGCAGTACTTGAACCAGTCTTCCCAGACTCTAAGGCTGGTCCACTGTTGCCTAGATGTGAAACCTCTTTCTGTCTCCCCCAAGGAATGACTGGCCAGAGGAACAGCCGTTTCAGAATATTTATGCCTGCCTTTAGAAAGAGGAATAACCATATGAATGAAAGCTGAATGTAATTCCTATTTCCATAAAGATTTCAGTGGCATTTTAGAATGCATTGGTGATGGTTTTGAGTATCACCACATTACTAGACTTTTACATATTCATTTCCTCTCTTTCACACCAAGGAAGTAGCCTAGTTTTATTCTTTCTTTGCTTTCTTATAAAGCTTTCTTAGCAAACTGGAGGAAACTCTAGGAATCATCCATAATGTGGTTCTGAAATTTAAGTTCTGCTGAAATTTAAGCTGTGATGAAAGTAAGAGAGATAGAAATTAGATGGCTTGTATCAGTGGCTTTGAGCAGAAAGTGAAAGAAGGTCTTGAGAAGCCACTTAAAGCCTTTCTTCTTGTTTGTGAGAAAATATCAAGAGGAGTCTTCAGTACCTTTTACCAGTGAAGGTAAGCGTTTTCCTGGCTATCATTGTTATGCTCTTTTCTTTGATGATTTTGTTTGAAGATATGTTTTACTTTTTTTTTTCCGTAATATTCTGCCCATTGCTTTTGATAGACCTTTCTCACTTACCATTTTAGGTTTAAACAACAAATGGTTTGGTCTTAAATCAACAGATTTTAGGTACACAAGAAAGTCATTGTTAAGTCATATATATTTTTATTTTGTTTCAGGAAACACAGCTGTCCCTCCATCCTCTAAGGAGCCCAAAAGTCCTGAGAACATCTCCAGTCAGCTGGAAGACTCTGGCTGTGATGTGTTAAGTGAGAATAGAACTGATCCTTCAGAACTGTCCCAGAATGTTGAAGAGAGTTTTACTTCATCTTCTGAAATTTCTGTATGTCAACTGCCCATTGTGAAAAGTCACTGTGCCTTCCAAGAAAAAACTTTATCTTCTCACTTGCAATTTTTGCAACATGTTCTTGAACTGAAGAACTTGACACAATCTGGTAATTTGAAAACAGATTTAAACAAGTTTGAAAGTGACTGTTCCACGGTGTCGGATTCTGTTTTTCGATTGCTTGATGGCCTGATAAGTTTTTACAGTGACTCTAAACTCCCTTTCTCAAACTTTTTGACAGAAGCAGTTTCTATTTTGACTAGGTTAATCGATGATTGTAATTTATCTAATCACATACTTAAAAAATGTTTCAAGAAGTTGGAAGAATTTGAGAAAACTCTAGTGCAGGTTATTTTAAGGAACAGCAGTATTAATCGGGTAAGTAATATATTATTACATTATGTAAAGTTGAAATAAAATGTAAAGAATGAGTTTAACTGACATTCCAAACATGTTATGTGGATCCATTTTTTGAAATGGATCTCTGTTATGGTCCAAAAGTCCTTCCATTGCACCAGTTAGTATATCCTATTATCATGCATTACACCCCAGAGCCTCCCAACTCACCGTCTTTTTTTTTTTCCATTTTTCTTACTTTCTCCAAAAACTTCTGATATTCTTTGTTTTTGGATAGTTCCTGTCTGCGTCAGGCCCTGTGCTCACATTCTATGTCTAGAGTTAGTTATTTCATTGCTTATTCTAGTGTTCTATTTGCTGTTTGTGTTTTCACCTGTTTCAGTCGTGTCTGACTCTTTGTGACCCCATTTGGGGTTTTCTTGGCAAAGATACTGGTGTGGTTTGCCATTTCCTTCTCCAGCTCATTTTATAGATGAGGAAACTGGAGCAAACAGAGTTAGGTGACTTGCCAAGGGGTCACATAGCTTCTAAGTGCCTGAGGCCAGGTTTTAACTTGGGTCTCCCTGACAGTGAGGCCTAGTGCTGTATCCACCGCACCATCTAGCTGCCCATTCTTTTTACTACTTAAAGGTGAAGAAGTCTTAATTCCTAAAAATTTTAATGGTTTCTCGGCTTAATGCCTCTACAACATTGAAATCCTTTATATTGTGCTATGTTTTAATTAATAGCTATAAACTTGTATTTGTTTATTCACCCTCAATAGATTGTAACCTCTTGAGGTCAAAGTCTTTGTCTTCATTTCCTTTGTTACTGCCCTGGTAACCAGTAAGGTAGTACCTACACAAAGGGACTGATAGATAGTAGGAAACAAGCCATGCATTGAATATGTATTTCTTTTCCTTGTCATGAAGCACTGCTTGCTGGTGCTAAAATAGGCAAGCTCCAAGTTCTATTCTGTTGTAGCATTTACTTAACTGGAATCTTTTTTTTTCTCTCCACTTAAAGATATAATTGTTTTCCTTCCTTTTATTATGTTATATTTTCTTTGGTCTCTGTTTCCTTCCCTTGGGCAATATTAAATACCCTAATCTCCGGTCTTTTTAATTGACAAGTAAGAAAGAATAGAAGTGGGTACAGAGGAATAAACTGTATGTTTCAGTCTTATCTTGGAAATTGTATTTCACCAAGGAAAGCTGTTATCTATTGATTTTTAAAATGTAATATTGCTATTTGCTTTTATTGAGTTCATAATCTATCCCTTAAGTAATTTTCATTTTTATATAAATATTCAAAATATTGGCCAAAGTTTTCAAGGATCCCTTCAGTTGATTTCATTCTGTATGTGTTCAGTTTTTTGTTTTTTTGATTTTTTTGTTAAGTTACTATAGTGATAGACATTGTAGAAAAAGAAACGGCATGATGGAGTTTTTTAGCAGTTGTGGAAATATTTGACTTTTTTGTAGAATCTTTTCTTCTGTTCTCATCATACCCCATCAGTGTGCCACAATTACAAAAGATAAAATTGACTTCTCATTGCTGTTTTTAGATAAAGTTGAAAAACTCAATTACTTCATGATACTTTATAATTTTCCTACCTTGTGCCTTGGTTTCTGTTTTATTCTACCCAAACAGTTTAAAACACATTTTACATGATGTAAAATGCCAATACTTGGTTGAGTTTCACTATTCACCAGACATAGTAATAAAAAAAAAATAGTGTGTGTCTGTGCGTTCATGCGCATGCCTGTGTATTTTGAGTCTCAGTTCTCTGACCAGGACAAAAAAAAAAAGAAAAAAAGAAAAACTTACAAAGGTGAGCCTTAGTTCTGGGAGACTTTGCAAAGAGTACACAAACTCTGACTGATTCTAACAGTGTGGAAAGAATTAAGGCCTAGGCTTTATTTTTGTGGCAGCTGGAGAGACAAAGCACTGGGTCTAGGGTCAGGAAGACCTGATTTCAAATAGCTTCAGGCATTTACTAGCTGTATGACCCTAGGCAAGTCACATAATTGCTGTTTGCCTCCTTTTTCTCAACTGTAAAATGGGGATATTAATAGTACCTACCTTGCAGGGTTATTGTAAAGATCAAAGGAGCTAATGTTTGTAAAAAGTTTAGACCATCTGTTGTCCAAGAACCAATTAGCTCAATGAGAGGAGGCTTATTAGTGGTAGTCATTAGGCAATGTCCTTTTTTGGTCATGGTGGGCTTTGAAAAAGATAAAAATAGAATTGAATCTTGTACAGCCTCTTTCTTCCCTTGAGGAAGTTTGGTTTAGTTTGGAGTCAGAAGACCTGGGTTATATGTTCCTTCTGTTTCTTACTATCTTTGTGAACTTTGACATATTTCTCAACCTTCCTGTGATTGTTTCTTCATCTGTAAAATAAGAGGGTTGGACAAGGTGGCCCCTGACGTGTCCTGTAGCTTTAGTGCTGTAATACAAAGACCCTATAATATATCATTTTTCTCTATTGCTATTGGTAGAGTGGTAGAAAAGGGGTGAGGATCATAAGAATTAGTATTTGAGATGTCTAGAAGCAAAGTTTAGCTGTTGCTACTCTTAGTAAGAAAGGAAGCTAATGGATAGAGAGCCAGTATCAAAGCCAAAAAGTACCTGGGATCAATTGCTGCCTCTGACACTACTTCTGGGACATAACCTCTTAGTGCCCGAGGCAACTCTAAAGATTTTAAATTGCAGAGGTTTACTTCATTAATAGAGGGTATTTCCTCATTTTGGAGTTCCCTGTATCAATGAAATCACAGATTCAGGACCTGTCCTTATTCCTAATGTATAATCTTTGTGCAATGACCATTGATTTGTTATTCTACTAGAAAAACTGAACCAAATCCATATCTTCATTCCTGTTGTTCAATCATTTCAGTCATGTCTGGCTCTTCATGACCTCATTTTGGGTTTTCTTGGCAGAGATACTAGAGTGGTTTACCATTTCCATCTCCAGGTCATTTTACAGATCAGGAAACTGAGTCAAACAGGGTTAAGTGAACCTTCCCAGGGTCACAGAGCTAATAAGTATCTGAGGACAGATTTGAATTCAGGAAGACTCATTTTCCTGACTCCAGGCCCAGGGCTGTATCTATTGTGCCACCTAGCTGCCCCATTTTCATTCTTGCTCTAAGTTAAATCAGAAGACATTAAAAAGAATTTCTGGCAAATGAAAAGATAGCTTTCTTCAGGGAAGCAAAAAAAAAAGTTGTTTAAGTTAGTTTCATTGTGTACCCAAAGATAAGAAGAAACATCATTTTGTGAGACACCTAGCTATGTTGCCTGAAATGCCTATAAAAAATATGAGTACAAACTATGGAGATAATTGAAGCTTATTCACCAATGTCTGTTTCAGAGGATGAAGTAGAGGAATTTGATGAAATATTTGTCAAGATGCTTCATGCTTAGGCAGTATACCCCTTAATATCACTGCAGAAATAAGTGCCAGAAGAAAACGGAACATGGGAAAGGTGATAGGGAATCAGAGGATAAATACTAAATGAATACTCAGATGGCTTACATTTATATGAATGTAATAGAATGGAATCAAAAGGTTCTGATATGATAAGTACCGTCACCCTTTTCCCCCAGATGATTTTGGCTGTATCTAATTGGCAGGAATTGACTGGTGATAGTAATTTCATAATCTACCTTTCTGTGTGCATCATGTAATTGATTTGTTAAAGCAACTTCAAATTCAATTCAAAGTTAAAATTAAAGGTTATGATCAATAGAATGCTATTACATTTACAAACTTAATTGTTTAAATGAGGTGTTAACTTTTTAACAATGGGCAAAAATAAAGCCCCCAACTGTGACTTTGCAAAACAGTTTTCCTGGTAAAAAGCTCTGTGGAGCCCAAAAATCATTTTAGCCAGTAGGGGTTTGATTTTCTTGCCAACTAGAGAGACATGTCAAGCCAACGGAAATATTGATTTAAAATGTAAGCGCATTTGCAAAATATTGTAGAGGAGTGAAAAAAGTGGGAGCCAGAGAGCAGCAGCTAGATGGGATAGAGGGCCATCATGGGTGAAGACATGATGATTACTATGAAGATAGTCCTAATGATTCAGGAGAGTGGGGTGGGCAAATTCATCTATTGTGATGAAGAGATTAAGTCTTTGATCCAGAGCTCACAGTAACAATGAGGCTTGACTTCCAGGTCAAAACAGTATTACTTTATGGAAGTAAAACTAAGCTTTCAGTATGAGATATTCCTTGTCAAGAACAGTTGTCAACTCTGATACAGTAGCCATACAGACATTATAGCCATGCAGTAGCCATTACAGAGGCTATAAGGTGTTCTATTAAGTTATGATGTCACAAGAAGAGGCATTTTGTTCGGTTGGATATGTGTGTTAAATGAATAAGAAATATACTACTTGAAAAATGATCAGTCAAGCAAGCAAGTGTTTATTTAGCACCTAGTATATGGTATAAGTGTTGGGAATACAAAGAGAAAAAAAATGAAGCCTTTCTTTCAAAGATGACATTCTAATGACAGAGACCTCATGTATATTTATAAATAGGGAAGGGAATAAGCATTTTATACAGTGCCTACTACAGTGGTAAGCACTTTTTACAAATATCTCATTTGATCCTTACAACAACCCTGCAAATTAGATGCTATTAGTACCCCTATTTTACAGTTGAAGAAACTGTACCCAGGGTCATACATTTAGAAAATATCTGAAGGTACATTTGAAATCAGGTGTTCCCGACACCAGACCCAGTGCTCTATTCACTGTGCATCCAGCTGCTTCTAAAATAGCCAGTATGTTTTTTGACCTCACTAACTCTGCTAGAACAAGCCCAGATTCTTCTCCTTCTTAGGGTTCTAGGGGTACCCCTGAGGGCTTAGGGTATCTCTTATCAACTGCCATCAGCTTGATTCCCTAGTCTAATGTATTTCCCTCCCAACACTGTTAACCACCAATGACTAGCACCCCAGTTCCACTAAACCACTTAACATCAGTGAGCTTATACAAAGGGCTGTTTACTCTGAAGGTCTAGCAAGAT